TCTCTCTCTCTCTCTCTCTCTCTCTCTCTCTCTCTCTCTCTCTCTCTCTCTCTCTCTCTCTCTTGCTTTTTCGACTGAAGCTGACTGAAGCTCTATCACTGAGACATTGACCACGTTTTTTTTTCTTTTTTTTTTGTGTGTTTGTTTTGTTTACTGAATATGCTCTCTCACCTGATTGAAGCTCCCTCAGACGTTCAAACAGGAACTCCGACAGGTCTGATTCGACAAGCTGCTCGAGCGCGACTTGCATTCTCTCTGGGGACTCACTGCTCGGTCTGCACAGATAGTGCAGCAACTGGCAAGTGCTGTACCGCACGCGGCTCTCAGTTGATGATGAAACAAGGGAGGTCTTTATACATTCCGAAAAAGTCTGAAGAGGACATGCAGTCGATGAACGTGGCCGGATTCGTTGTAGTTGCACGTCATCCCCATCATAAAAATCCTTTGCGGTCAACGAGCTTAGCACAAAAACTCCCCTCTCTGCCAAAGTCCTCAAAAGCTCTGTCAAGAAATCAATTATTAATTTATTATTAATATTTATTATATATATAGACTATATATATATATCATCAAACATTATATATTTATATATATGCATACATACATACATACATATATGAGTCGGTGAAACTCCGACGACACAGTTTGTCACAGCCCCTCGTTTGTTGTCCTCTTCTCCCTCTCTGCCTACGGTTTACCGGGCAGTTCTATTTGACGATATATATGTTAAGCCAGGAAAAAAAGAATTACTGTAAGGCGGAAGTTGACCACAGCTCCAAATTTCAAACAACCTGCAAGGAACCTGACTGTTCACAGCTTGCTTGAGAGCATCACACCACATGCATACATGTCATCACACGTACAAAGTGGCTTCACTCAAAAACCAGATTGAGATGAGAAATGACCCAAGTAGCGCAGCTTATATTAACCATGTCACTGAATACAAAGAGTATCATGAGTTCCAGAATTCAGCGCCAACAAAAGATAATCTCTCTCATCATACAACAGCATGGGATCTGGCTCAGCCAGCATCCTTCTTCGGATTACAGATATGGCGCCAACCGGTAAGTATGCAACATATCCAGATTCACTTCCTGTCTGTCTTCTCTCTCTCTGGATCTCTTCTCTCTCTCTAGAACTATGTCTTGGTTCTCTCCC